TGGACGTGTTTGACAGGCCATCATCTCACCACTCTAGGAGATTCTTTAGTCTAGGTATGGTGTTTGGTGGTTGATGTTTGGTGATTGGTGATTGGTTCTGGTGGCCCTGATACCCTGGGAAGGAGGGAGAGTACCTTGAGCATCCCTTTTCTGCGGCTCTTTGAGACTGAAGGTGGAAGGGGGGGGAGGGGGGAGGGAAGGCTTGTAATTTTGGGGAGGTGATTTGATTGTTGATGGAGATGCTCCTTTCTTCCGTAGGCTGTTGGTGATGGCGAGATGAGTATGTTGGATTTCAAGTCTGTGGGCTAGGGAGTCGTTCTTCGATGAATAAGTGGGTTGTGTTGTTGTGTGTATTGAGGACCGACTATGTGACTTTGTTCTGGTCTTGGTTTAGTTCTCGTTCGATGACATGGTGTCAGAGGCCGCTTCCTAGCCCTCACTCCCTGTATCTCTACTCCAATGTCGAAGTATGTCGCGGATAGTTAGAGTGACCTAATAATCGTCAGACAGAGCTCTTCTATGGCGTCTATTGAGTTCATTGTGAATCTTGGCTGGCCAAGGCAATAGACAGAGGTATTCACATTACCAGGTATTCAAGAAAGATCTCATTTATACATTTGATCCCTTGTCAATAGCGCATTTCCGTAGGAAATCCTATCTTATATAGTGGAGTCTTCTTCGTGACCTATGCTATTTGATCTTAAGGACTCTCTGGACAATCTGGAGTAGCTTAGTTGAGAACCTCACGCAGGACGTCTCAAGAGATATATCAAACCTTGCTTTTATTATGACCGGTCTTAGATGGTAGACAGTAGTGTCTTTACGTATACCCAATATATAATAGATGGCTATATTTTTGGTATTTAGCATTTTCTTACAAACTCTCTCTAGGTAAACCCCGCATAGGCCATTACATGGCGCATTTCGAGAATGCCGCTCGTTGAGTTGAGTGAAACCATTCTAAGAGATACCCAATTATGGTCTTTCTCTTAAAGACGTACGGATGGATTATAGGTTTTACGCGACAGCGCCGTCTTCATGTCTACTGCTCTTCTCAAATAACGACCCGAGCGAGCTCTTCTTGGGCCGATTCCCTCGCTCGCTTCGTGGATGCCTCGGCCTCGACCTCGACCTCATGTGTTACAGGGTATATAAAGTGACTAGCATTCCCTTATTTTTTTTTTCCCCCTTAAAACAACCTGGAGGGAGCTCGCCGCAAGGCTATATTAGCCATGGCAGATCATACTTCACCCTAGTATGCTGTGAAGCAATGATAGTGCGAATCTGGACTGGAAGACAGGGGCACACCCTACTGTGTGAACTCCTTTGGACAAGTGCATAAATCAGAGACCGCAGCCTTTTTGCTCCCACGCCACCTTGCTCGCTTGTATTTGTGACGGGAGATTTCAGGGACAGCTGTTGATCAGGTTGAGAGACATCCCCTCGACCTTCTGGTACTAGTGACTATGTGGCTTGGTCTGAGACTGGGAAAAGTCACTGCTTAAGGTGGCCTGTACATAGACAACCTGCCAAGGACTGCAAGCACTCTTCTTGCCTTTACACCAACGAATCTATCTTACAATAATGTTGACTTTGCTTCGAGCCTCCGCTTCTAAATAGAAATTTGCCACATTCCACTAGCTATATAGATATGTCAATATAGCATTTAGAGCAGCCGATGAAAGGAAGAGAGAATAGGATTACTATTATTAAGAAAAGATTAAGGAAACGGTATAAACATATAGTATCATAGAATTCTTCCTACTCTCTTTGATAAGTGTACATCTTCTTCTATCACGTACGTATCTTAGAACGAACACGAGACGTTGTAAAAGTACCGAGAATCATAGGGCAATTCGTAACGAGGGGGTTCAGTTCTTTAGATAACCTTAAGTACCTAGAGGGGCGTGCCGGTGGGTCACTTTATACATGGCGCCAGCTTAGAAATCCTAACCACGATTTCAAGTCAGGAACGCGAACTGTTATGTATGGACTAGCTACCTACATAGGGGGCCTCGAAGGCGTTCTTATAGCCAGTCCTAGGACCTGATGGACTTTAGAAGTCTTGAAGAGCTAAACTGAACATAAGAGTACTTGATATTGTGTATTTATGACTCTCTTACTTCTATTAAAACGGAAATATGGTTGTGAGTATGGCGTTAAGAGGACTAATACAATAAATAGGAAGGGACTATAGACGTTATACTCTAGTCTTCTAATCTCAATACGTCACTTGAGGGGGTTGAAGCTTTCCGGGGAAAAGTCGGAAGGACTTTCAGGCTTCCCCTAATCTTTTCTGCTCTTTCCCTTCTTTCTTTTTCACCTTGGTGCTTAAAGTGCTCTGTATCATCGGGTGGGTCCTGAATGCTTAGTTCAACCTAGGTCTCAACCTGAATGTCAAACCTTTCCTATATTCCCGTACAACTAATACAGCAATCCCCTTCTGCGCTTAAACATAAGAAGAAAAGAAACATTCTCGCATCCAGAACGTAGTGGTTCTCAAAGGGAGGAAGGTTCATGTCTCATTTCTCGCCAAAGAACTCAGCCTCGAAAGAACATCACGAATAACGAAACCGGGCTGTCACACATCTGCACCGGCTCCTTCGAGCCAGTTCAGGGACCAGGTAAGAAGACTCATAATGGGCGCCGAGTTGAATGAAGCAATGTGAAGCAGATGTCTTATCGAACAAAGGCCACAAGTACGTCTCCATCCTCATGTCTTCATATGTTCATTCAGGCCGGGGAGCACAATCAAAGTGACATCAATCAAACTACAAGGGTTTGGCAAAATAGAATCAATGCATTGCTACTAGGTTCCTAAAGCAAACTATGCTGCGGGGGGGCGTATAGCGAATGAATAACACGAGGACGAGCGAGATGAAGAAATATCCCAGTCTATCTCCCATCCTCTCCTTGAACGCGCAATAGATGCATCAGACCGATCCTTCGTAACTGTGGACTCCCAATCGGTGTCTTCGTCGTAGAGGTGAGTAGTCCCTCTTCAGCGAGCTGACCGTCGTCCGTCTTCGCAGCGTCGGCTGCCGTGGGGGCTCCCAGCTTGTCTCCTAAGACGGGCTATTCCATCCCACCCAGCTCCGGGGCATCACCCGCCAGATTTTAACCTCGCCACTACGCAAGTCGTCCAGCTTGAAGCTTTCAACCTTGTTCTTCTTGCTTTCACGGCCCTGCTCCCAGGCGCGAACCTTCTTTTTCGTGCCATCCCATTCCGATACGACCGCCACGTGGTCGGGCTTGCCAACCTCCATCGAATACTTGGCATGCATGGGGCCGTGCTTGCCCTGGAACCGAGCGTTCCGAATGGAAATGATATCACCAGGTCGGATCTGGTCGTTTTGTTGTATTGAGGCATTGGCCATGTTGGAGTAGACGAGCGCGCCATAAGCTCTGGTTCCAATTGGCGCCAAGGCATCATTGAAAGGCTTCAAGAGCTCGTGGATAAGACCTTGCGGCGTCCCATCGCCAACAATCGTTTCCTTCTTGGAGACAACCGCTTCGGAAATTAGTCGTCCAAATCGTTCGTACGATTGCTCGAGTTCATCCTGTCGCAAGGCTCTTGGAGGAGGATCATGTCGTTGATCCAGCTGAACATCGGCAGCGTTGTTCTGGTCATATTCAACGGTGATGATCGTCTGCGAGTAATCTTGGAAGAGCACGTAAATGGTGCGTGTGACAATTGAGCCTGATGTCGAGTCGTCCGTCTCATAGTACAAGTCCTTTCTACCCTGGAAAACGGGAGGTACCGTCTTGTCTTGACGCCACCATCCACTTTGCTTGGCCAAATCAACGTTGTTAGCGATGAAGCCTGATTCTGTGGACATTGAAGGCCTGTGTGCATCCATAGAACGTCGCTGAGACATGGAGGCTCGCGACACATCCAGAGACTGACGAGATCGGCCAGCTGGAGGGGCGGGAGGCGGGGCTCGCGTGTGAGACGGCGATGGCAATGGCGGAGCATCATCCTGGAAGTACCCCTCCTCTTCAATCTTCGGGGTTCGCTGAGAGTACGGCAGCTTTGGAGTGGAGTAGTTATAGGGATCGTACTCGTCATCATCCCTTGCCGGCGGAGGGGGAGGAGGAGCCGTTCGCGGTACATCCACAGAGCGGCGCTTGTCAGCCGTCGGCACCGGTGGTGGAGCAGCTCTAGGCGGCGGACCGGTTGGGATGGGCGGCGGCATGGTCGGTGGTAGGGCTGGAGATATGGGTGATCTAACTGGCGTGTTGTCGTCGAGACTCGAATCCCTGGCGTGAGATTTGAGTGCGTCCTTGTGGGGAACCGACGATGCAATATCAGTATCGTAGTCTCCCTCATACTCGGTAACCTCGTCCTCATCGTCGCCCTGTTGAGGAGGTCTGATCGGAGGTGATATGGGTGATGCGACGTGCATATCCTGCGTCGACTGACGGCTCAAACCACCGCCTGGAGGTGGTGGGGGAGGCGGTCGCGATTGTGCTGTAGGAATGGGAGGAGCCGCTCCAGGGATAGGAGGCGGAATTCTGCTCACCCGCTTGCCCGAGGAGCTGGTGGGAGATGTTGGTGAGAACTCGGAGCCGGGAATGGGAGGTGGCGAGCGTGCGGCGGTCGCAACTGGCGGCAGTGGCGGGGGTGCTCGCGTTTCTTCGGCCTTGGGAGTGTCTAGTACACCTCCTGATAGCTCATCGTCGGACACTGAGCCATCACTGGGGGATTTATGCCCGGAAGTAAGGGGCCGAGCTGGAGCACTATGAGCCATTGTCTTGAACTGAACGCAGAGAGGGTCAAAAACTTACACTCGCTGGGAACAGGCGGCGCCGCGGGCCGGGATCCTGGAACAGGGGGAGCTCCTGCGGGCTCACGGGCAGGGACTTTCAGCAATTAGCAAAGGTAACTAAGATCACGGCCATCTGTCATAACTCACGACTAGGAGGTGGGCTCGTGATTGGCTCGTCTCTGTCATCTTCGGCGTCAATCGTTCGTGGAGGTGGAGGCGGCGCTCTAGGGGACGTTGGCGGCTCAGGCTCAGTAGCTTCTTCTTGACGTTTGGGTGCGCTCAGCCCTGGCAATGCCATCATGCCCGGTACGGCGACACGGCCTGTAGGCGATGTCTCCTCTTCGTGCTCCTCCGTTGGCGAAGCCTCCACTGGCTTCTCGATTGTCTTCTTCTTCTTGGGAATAGCTGGGGCAGCCATTGGGATTCCAAACATGCCGTGCATTCCCATGCCACCGCTCATTTTCGCCATCCTAGCCCTGAGCTCCTCCTTCCTACGGACCTCGGGGTCAACATCGTCCTCCTCTTCATCCTCGTCTCCGCCCTGGTCATCAGCTGCGTCTTCCTCGTGTCTTGCTTCGACAGGAGAAGCGACTTGGGGTCGCGGGACAGGCCGTGGAGCCGCATCACTATCGTCGCGTTCGGTAAGATCCTCAGGACCTTCGGTAGTATCGCCGGCCCCAGACATGTCCGCTTCATTGCCGTCATGGTAGCTCTCGGCAGCAGGGCCTTTGGAAGACTTGCGCCGGGGCGCGGGCGGCACACGAGCTGAATCTATCGAGCTCCGGCCTGCCACCTCCTCAGCATCGCCCTCGGGTGCAGGGGCAGGAGCAGCGCCGGCATCCTCAGAAGCCTCCTGGCTGTCAGTGCGCTTCTTAGGTGGTGGTCGTGCAGCCTTCTTCTTCGCAGCGGCCTCGGCGTTACGCTGTGCTTGTTCCTGTTGTTGTCTTTGGAGAAGAGCAATGCGCTCCTTCAAAGTGGTCGGCTTCGGCGCATCCTCGCCCTCTTCACCAGAGGGGCCAGGGGCCATGCCAGCCTTCTCAGCGTTCTCCTGGGCCTCTGCCTCTCTTTCCAGAATTTCCGGGTCCTCGTCTCTTCGGTAGACCTTTGCAACCGGCGCCTGCGTAGGCGGGGGGACATATGCATTGCGGCTGGGAGGAGGAGCCACAAACGGCTTCTTGATGTGATAGGAACCTTGGGCCAGTCCGCTCGGCTTGAAGGGCGTAATAGGGGCGGCCGAGGCTTTGTTGAACGCAGCGATGCGATCCTTGAAAGCATTGCTGGATGGCTTGGGCGGTGGGCCGGGCTTGGATGAAGCAGGCGCTGCCTTGGCGATGGGAGGCGACGAAGCTGCGGGGGACTCAGTCCTAGGAGCCGGAGCAACCGGGGTCGGTTCGGGCATTGGCTCAGGTGCCTTTACAGGCTCGGGCTCGGGAGCTGCGGGTGCTTCGGGCGAGGCAGGAAGGGCAGCAGCCGGGGGCGGCGCAGGTTTCTCGACCTCGGCGTGAGCTTCTTGGGTGGGTTGAGGCTCGGATTGAGGCACCGGGGCGGGCGCCTCCGAGACGGGGGAGGTGACCTCGGCCTCTTTCTTGGTTCGGGTTCTCGTTGGGCGAGGCGGGGCCTGGGGTTCGAATTTCTCGACAAAATTGCGAGGAAAGATTCCTTCGTGCTTGGCGCCAGAGTCGTCGACATACTCGCCAGTATACCAGTCAGCATCCTCCTCGTCGGTCACGGTGATGATGACGCCGGCGGGGAACTGAAGGTCATCCTCGTGGGGCGAGGAGTATTCGAACAGGGCCTTGACCCTGAAAGGGGCGGTCGACATGGCCGGCAATGGTCGGGATAGTCCGTCGTCTTCGTCGAAATCGTCGTTGTCGTCGGTTTGGCTTGTTGTCGTTGTGTTTGTGGGATGCGAACACCTGGACGGTTGAAAGAGGAGTTGGGTGCCGCAGGTCAGAGCGAGCGACGCTGGAGCTCTAGGGTGTGGGGCAACGGAATCGGAACGTCGTCAGCAGCTTGGACCTTGCGTGGGCTGTTGGTTGCAGCAGCAGTAGCAGCAGAAGTACGCAGTAATAGTAGGTAGCTACGACCAGAAGCGAAAAGACAAGAGAGGTCAGATTCGGGGCGGTAGCAACATCAACAACGAAATGCGATGTGCGAAGCGAGAGCCCGTGAGGGTGGGAAAACAAATGACAAAGGTGGATGATGACGGTGTGTGGTTGAGCGGGTTGCGTTGCGACTGCGCTGGCGATTTCTCAAACTCAGCGAGGGGGAAGGAAGGGGGGTGGGCGGTCGGAGAAGGAGGCTGTGAGGAAGGGACGGACGGGGGTGGAGGGATCTACAAGTTGGCGTGTCGACGTCAGCGCATGAACTTGTAACTCTCTTAGTTCAATGTGTCGGGGCAATTGGGGGCCCTGCCTGGGAAGTCTGCACTATGCGAACACAAGAGTCATGTATGCAGCCCCAGACGCCCCGTTGACAAATGCCTTGTCTTTTCCTGTCCAGGTGTCTCTTTGTCCATCTTTACCTTGGAGTGTCGTACCTAAGGTGAGCTAAGTTTTGGGGTTTGGATGTGGTGCATATTGGGTACTCTGGAGCCGCAATGCGCTATGCGGGTGAGATGGGCTCTTCGGGTAGGATGCGTCTGCCTAGACACACTGCAACCCTGGATTTGAGTACACTTGACGGATAGCATATCTAGTATTCACGTCCTACTCTACACAGATGCCCACTGGGTTCTGATGTCCTTCGTCGCTGGTAAATTGTATTGTCTTTCCTTCAGAGATTCATATTCAATATCAAATAGTAGGCGATGCAATAGGGTGCTAAGGGCAGGGGTTCGCCATAACGATCATCCAAAGAACGGGCAGAGAAGTCTATCGCATCTCATTTGTCGCCTGCGTCTGCATTCTGCGCTTCGGCCGGCCTTCTCAGAGAATTCTCGAAAAGTTAGCAGTCCATCACCGTTAGGTGCAAGACTTCACAGTGCTACGCCCCATGCTATGCCATTCTAGAGGTCGGAACAGCAATATTGATACTCGACAGCGACAAACGGAAACAACGGCAAGACCAATATAGATCAGGCGCATGTGGCACGGCCAGCTGGTGCCTCACGGAGCTCGTGGTTGGCTAGAGAGGGTTCCGTAAAGAAGTAGATCAAGGTAGAGGAACAGCTAGGTTAGGCACCTAACCTTCATGGCAACTGCAGTGTGAGGTCAAGTTGAGGTAAGCCAGCGAGGCCAGTCCCAGGCATTGGACAGTCCCACGACGTGATGCAATGGAACAATATTAGTGCATTACGAGATGACCTGAAGGAGCTTGAGCAGGTCACTCGATCGTGGCGCAGGGCAAGCCTGGCGTTAACACGAGATCAAACAGTCAAACCAAGTCCAGTTCCAGTCCAGTGTTGGAGGTGTAAGAGCGGACGGAAGATGCGCTACGTTTCTTCAGCCGCCCTAGCCAATCGAAATCCTCCCGAGAAGTCCAGTCGAGGGGTCAAGAGGATCGCGGACATGGGGAGCAGATGGAAATGGAGGGGGAACTTAGAAGCGGAGGGACGGAGTTACGGCCGCTCAAGCCACCCGAGCACCCCGAGCCACACTCTCGCCAGCAAAGCGTCTGGTCAACCCGTCACACCAATGTGCCTGAGTGTAGAAGTCTTGGCGGCTGTTGACTGTTCCCCCTCAATCGTGGCGGCAGCCGGGTGGTGCCAGGAGGTACGTATTCCGTCGCTGCTTGGCTTCAGCTGGCGTGCTTCCATGCCTAGCACCGAACTCTCGATTGGGAGTGCTCTTGCTATGGGTACGAGGTGTGGGGTGAATATTCCCAGCAGCAACCTAACACTTGCGGGATCGAACATTCTCCAATTGCTTAACAATTTTGCACTTATTCACGTCTTCAATCTACACTCACCACCACACATCGTACCTCAATTCCAGCCTGTCTCACATGCGTAGCCACGACAACATTTCCCCTCAGCTCGCCTTATAGTTATTTCTCAAAGGCACTTTCAGCTTCCATCGCCGAGCTATAACCTCCTACCGGGGACATAAGACGACGCGCCTCACACCAGCTAAACGACCCCTCCCACAACCACCTCACGTACACCACAACACCCACCATGGCTACCGATGCCCGGCCACTGAAGGGCATCCTCAAAAAGGCAGCAGCCGGAGCCACCGCCTCCGGCAGCGGCGCCGCCAACGCCGTCCTCAACCCCCGAAAACAAGACCCTCGCGAAATCGCCCTCCAGCACGCCCGCATCATCCAGCAGCGCAAGGACCTCGAGCTCCAAATCCTCGAGAGCCTGGCCGAGCTCTCCGAGTACCCCACCGAGCGCGGCAGCAGAACCTTCTCCGCCGCCAACCCCTCCCCGCGCGACGTCGCCGACTTCAAGGCCGGCATCCGCCTCTTCCAGCCCTCCGACTACGACGACCTCATCGAGGAGCGCAACGTCAACGGCCTGTGCGGGTACACTCTCTGCGCGCAGCCGAAGCCGATGGCGTCGAAGGGCGGCGAGTGGAGGCTCGTCAACTTTGGCAAGGCAGATTTTGATATCGTCAACCGCAAGGAGTCAGAGAAGTGGTGCTCCAAGGACTGCCAGCGCAGGGCCATGTATATCAAGGTGCAGCTGAATGAATCGGCTGCGTGGGAGCGGGCGGGGTTGCCGGATATTGAGATTGAGCTGTATGGAGAGGAGAAGGCAAAGCAGGAGGACCCTGCAACACAGGCTTCGCGCGACCTCGCAAGTCTGAAGCTGGAGGAGGGCAGGAGGGCGGCCGACGAGTCTGCTACGTTGGCCTTGGAGAGAGGAGAAACGCGGGAGACGGGGCAGCCTGGTAATACTTTCACTCTCGCTATTAGGGAGAGGGAGGTCAAGCCACCAACGGATAACGGTGTGTTTGGAGATCCGGATGATGCCCATATGTTTGTTGAGGGACATAGGCCGGGAGCTGGCAAGGCGCAAGCCATCGCCGAGGCTTCCCAGTTTGAGGCACAACGTGACCAAGAGATGTCATGATGTAGTTCTACGGGTGGCAGGATACCAGAGGTAATTGGAGCGTGGAGGAGCTCATTTAGGCTTCGCAATGATCGGTTGCTCTATATAGATAGATTTGATACCCAAAGGCACACCGATTCGAATATTAAATCACTTTATGCACAGCAAGCCTAGTAGCAGACACTAGCCTCAGTTCTACACCACAGGAGGCTCAGGTGAGCTACAAGGTCAGAGGGACGGCATCACAGTACGCGAGAGAGGGATAAAAGATTGGCAGTCAAGCGTCATCTCCGGAACTACCCTAGAGAATCGGCGACACCTTGTGTGGGAAAACAGAACTTTTCTTTGTGGAAGTTCCTAGTGTGAACTCACTACCGTCCGTAAGACGCCTGTAGCAATGTGTATCATCATATGCCGTTTGCCGTAAAAGTCCGTTAAAAACCACCCAATTTTCCTTATCCACAATCGACCACGACAGAAATTTAGTCGCGGCGAGGGGGGCGGCCACCGAAGCGGCCTCCGCGCTCCTGGACCTGGGTCTGGCCGACGGGAGTGACGTTGACGGGGATAGCGTCGAACTGCAGGGAGCACATCAGTCAGAATTGCTTGTCGGATTGAAGTTGAAGGGAGGTCAAAGGTAAAGACGTACGCCGAGGTGCTTGAGAAGGTCCTTGGTCTCGACGTCGACCTCGAGCTGGCCGCTCTCGGTGTTCTGGGTGAAGTCGAGGGCGGAGACCTCGGGGACGAACTGATCCTTGCGCTCACGCTCCTCCTCCTGAAGCTTGAAGGAGATACCGCGGACGGGACCACGCTGGATACGCTTCATCAAGTGGGTGGTGTAGCCAGCAATCTGTAATTTCACTCCAACGTCAGCAATCTTGCTCTCTTTCGATTTGTTCTTCTCCCGACACCGATATTCGAACGTGGTCTTGCGACCCGCTCGTTCGTCCGACTCGTGTGTTGTTTCGTCTGGGTGATTATTTGCTGACCTTGTTGCGGAGGCGCTTGGAGGCGATGATGGCGATCTCATCGCAGATGCGCTTGTTGGTCTCGAAGTCCAGGGTGAGTCTGGGGTAGTACCGCTCAATGATGACCTTGGCGGACTTCTTGACGGTCTTGGTGCGAACGCGACCCATTTTGGCGGTACTGACTCAACGGAGGGGGGGTGTTTGGCTGGGTGGAGGGAGTTGGTCGGTTAGTGAGGCTGGTCGGTCGAGATGTTCGCGATAAGTTTCGCTGAGCAGATGCAATTTTGATATCTTTACACGAAATTTAGGGCCGTGGTGTGGGGCGCGGGAGCTTTGGTGCACAGGCCATGGGGGCATACATATGTAAGCACACGTGACCATTGAGGTGGCCGAGACGGGGCAGGAACGAGTACCCCACTCGGGCCCGGATCGGGTTTGTTCTTAATTACGGAGCCGGTATAACACGGGGCTCTGATCTTCACTACCTAATGTATTGAGACCTTCTAAGGATACACGATTGCGTCGATATCTAAAGAGATCTGCTGTTTCCCGCTCCTGGAAAGCATGGCTTAGTAGTTGAAAACATTTCTGGCCTCGATTCCGCCGACAGCCAACTACCTACAAACTAGGGACTGCACCAAGCCAAGATACCTTACCTTGGCCAGGTTAGTATTACGACTATTTCTTAACGATCATAGACAGTCAAGAAAGTGTCGAAATTTGCGTTGTATTCTTCTTATTTTACAATACCATACATAGTACACTCGGCACAAATGCCAACGCCATACAAAGATGGGTCCTTAATAGCGTAACACAACTCCATGCTCTGCTGTCCGAGGCTCATTCTCGCCTAGTCCTTTGACCAGAAGCGCTTCCAACGCCATCTTCACCACCCTCAAGAGTCAAGACCGTAGCTCTTGGAGCTACCCACCGCGCTGGTTCCGGGTCTTTGGCTGTTGGTGTGCACATTTCGGATGAATCTGCGGGCAGGTGCGGGCGCTTCCACCTCGGTCTTGTCGTTGTAGATCTTGGCCTTTCCAACCAACTCCTTCAGAATGAGCTGGGCCTCTTCATTGGCCTCACCAACGGTAATTTGGACACAACCGTCTGAGTCTATGCGAGCTGAGGTAGGCGAAACGTAGGCCTTGGCGCCTCCCTTGATATCGGGATCGAAAGTGACAACACCAGCCACCTTGTTGTTGCGTCCAACGAAAGCTCTGTGGTTGAAAGCCGTATCGCCTTGGGGAACATCCGTGATGAAACCGCCGACACCCAGCTTGGCGCTGTTGGCTCCTGATCTCGGGGCAACGATACGAGCCAGGACGGGGGTATGATGGGCCTGGGGGCCGTATACTGGGTGGTTCTCGGCGAAGTTCGATGTACGGAGGTATGAGATACCACCAGAGGGGTGAGAAGCAGGCGGGCCATGCTCAGCATACAAGCTGGGGCGCTTGGTCTTCTCTGTCGACTTACTGAAGTCGGTCAAGGAGCTGGGCGGGTTCAGGGGAGCAAGGTCCAAGAATTCGCCAACAAGTGAGTACAAGGTAATGCGGTCGTTGCGCAACTTGCGAATGTACTCTGTAAGTTGCTCTTCCGTAACGTCGCCAGCACGAAGAGCTGCGGGAGCAGTTTCTCCGGCCTCCAAGGATTTCTGATGCTGCTTGCTCGTTTCATCGGATGCGATACGCTTCCGCAGAAAGCTGCGGAATGATGCGCGCTTGTTGCGGACGGCCTTGCGCAGGTATGCGTTGAATTCGCCCTCGGTAAGGCCAGCCAACCAGGGGCCCTGGAACTTCCACCTCTTCTCCTCGTTTTCGTTGTTACGCTTGACTGTGGTGAAGTCGCCATCGTCTTCGAATACAGATTTCGCTCCAATGTGAATACCACCAAGACGCGACCGGTTGGTGCCAGGTAGTGAGACGGGCAGGTTGAGCTCGTGGAACTTCTGAAGAGACAAGGTGTGGTCTGCGGCGGAGGTGTAATCGGTGACGTTTTCGAAACAGTCAATGTCCTTGATGCGGACAACGGGAGTCGATGACTTGGTCGTGGATCGAAGAGGCAGTGAGCGCTTGAAGCCCCAGTCACCAAGGGCCCTCGAGGATTCGGTAGTGGTGATGGATTGGTGCGTGGGATAAGGCGCGGTCGCTGTCGGGGATGCGTATCGAGCGATGGCAGCTGCCTGACCTCCGGGTTGAGGGAGCGGCTTGGGCACAGAGAACATCCGAGATGATCTCAGTAGCGCCCCTCCGGGCGACATTCGGGCAGACATGGCGGCTGTCGAAGCTCTCTACTGAGCTTGGTCGTCGTCAGTCGTATGTATCGCGGAATGGGTGACGAGCGTGCAGCGTTGCGTGAGAAATTTCAATTGGAGTGCGGAAGAAGCCGGCGAACTTGATTGGACGTGAGCTACCCCTGTCGTCTCTCCTGCTTCTCTCCACTGTCACCCGAAATGTCCATGTCTGGTGCACAGTCTAAACCAATTAAGGGATAAGAGACACTGGGCCTTCAGTCCCAGGGGCTTCAAGTGGTAGAGACGGCGAGAGAACATAGCAAAGTTGGAGGAAATCAGTTGTTTCGCAAATCAAAAAATTAGAAAAAAAACATTTGGACACCAAGACTCAGGTACTACCTTACTTGAGCACTCAGAAAGGTATGGTGTCTCATGGTCAGGTAAGGTACATAGGACGAGATTCGAAAGCGAAAGAGACATTCGGCAGGAGTGACACTTAACGGCCCCACCAACGCCGATGCGAAAGCGCATCGTCTAGCGGTTCGAATTTGGAGAATTACATTTTACCAACCCGCACTCAGCCCTTTTTCCCTTCCTCCCACATCGCAACCAGCAGCCTGCGGACTGCGCGATCGCTCATGTGGATAGCGAAAAGGATGGCGTCAACCAACGTCGGGTCCTCGCCCGCTCTCACCTTCGAGCTCGTCGCTCAGTGTTCAGTAAGCATCCCCCGCCTCCGTACTTGATTCACAATCTTCATGTGATTCTAGTTCGCGTGTTAACGGTTTAGGCTAGACAACAAGAGCCCGCGCATCCATCCTGACGCTTCCCCATGGCCAAGTTCAGCTCCCGATATTCATGCCTGTCGCGACACAAGCTTCGCTGAAAGGCTTGACTCCCGAGCAGCTCGAAGAGACGGGCTGCCGCCTGTGCCTGAACAACACCTATCATCTCGGCCTAAAGCCTGGCCAAGACGTACTGGACAAAATCGGCGGCGCGCACAAGCTCCAAGGATGGAAACACAATCTTTTGACGGATAGTGGAGGGTACATTTACCCTCTTGACGGAGTTGCCATTGCCTTCATCGGGTACTGACTGTGTCTATAGCTTCCAAATGGTCAGTCTCCTCAAGCTGGCGAAAATCACTGAGGAGGGCGTGCGCTTTCTCAGTCCCCACGACGGTTCGCCCATGCTTTTGACCCCCGAGCACTCCATGTCTCTGCAGAATTCCATTGGAAGCGACATCATGATGCAGCTCGACGACGTGCTCGTCACGACATCGCCCGACGCAGCCCGTATGCGCGAGGCCATGGAGCGCAGTGTCAGATGGTTGGATCGGTGCATCGCAGCGCACAAGAACCCCAAGACCCAGAACCTCTTCTGCATCATCCAGGGTGGTCTCGATCTTGAAATGCGACGGGAGTGTACACGGGAAATGTTGGCGCGCGATACCCCGGGCATCGCCATTGGTGGTCTGAGTGGTGGCGAGGCTAAGACGGACTACTGCCGTGTTGTCGAGACGTGTACCGAGCTGCTGCCGGATCTCAAGCCTCGATATGTTATGGGTATCGGATACCCCGAGGATCTGGTTGTGAGCGTCGCCCTGGGAGCAGACATGTTCGATTGTGTCTGGCCGACGCGGACGGCCCGGTTTGGCAACGCAATCACAAAGCATGGCGTACTAAACATCCGCAACTGGCGATATGAGAACGACTACGGCCCTATTGAGGAAGGATGTGGCTGTATCTGTTGCCGGAAGGGCGAGGGTGGCTTAGGTGTCACCAGGGCCTTCATCAACCATAATGCGGGCAAGGAAACTGTCGCTGCTCACTTGCTGAGCATACACAACGTCTGGTATCAGCTGAATCTCATGAGAGAGATTCGGCAAGCTGTCATCGAAGACAGGTACCCTGCCCTTATTAGGCAGTTCTTCGGTGATCTTTACAACTACGACAAGTCAAAGTATCCAGAGTGGGCTGTTGAGTCACTGAAGAGAGTAGGGGTTGATTTAATAAACGAGTAAAAGCACAAAAGTATCTAACACTGAAGATGACAACGAAACAAGCATTTGGTGACTCTTGACGTTGGCCATTAATACTGACTGGGCTTCCCAGAACCTGCCTTTCTTATGCTATTGAGCTGTGACTGTTCTCTTGGTCTTCGCCTCTTACTCTGAGAGCAAACAGGCAAAATGGCGTTTCTTAGAACAATCAGACAAGCCTCTCATCGCCAATAATGACTTTCTGACGTTGACTGAAGCTCTACGGTTCACTGAATGATGGCCTGTTCGCAAATAGTCTAACTAAGCTTGGCTTCGCTAACTGGACTGCCACATCACTCGCAGCTTCTAATGCAGGGCTGATCTTCCTCTTTGGCAGATGCTCCTTAATGTTTTCACCAAAAGTGGCATTGGCTCTGTGCAGACGGCCTGGACTCCAGCAGTGGTTTCCATCCTCCCGCTTAAGTAGAGGCCTCGCATTTTTTGCTAATGGTGCCCAGTGTTTTGTGTAAGCAGACTGGGTGGTGCAACAATCTTCTTGCCACTAGTGATCTCTTGGTCAGATTCGGAGGCTTCTACTCTGTCGTTTAGGTCGTGGCTTCCGTGTTTTGGCCAACAATGGCATCTTATCTCCGCAGACGAGGTATATTCCGGGACGAATGCCCAGAAGACGCTACCGTGCCTTGACCAACGGTAGCGTCTTGTCTAAGTGGATTGGGTAGTGCGAACCTTTCCTGGCCAACAGTAGCATCTTGTCTGCGGAGAAGGGGTGGGCCCTCACCTTCGTGTCGCCGAAGACCCTCGCATCGAACCACCGTCACTACTACGGTATGAGTAGATGTCCTAGGTGGTAATTGCCCGCGAGTATACGAGCCAATGCCGTCAAAGACGCAGCCCATGAGCACCTTCATGCGGCCAGCCTCTATACAGGCCTCGACCTGCTGCTCACTAAGAGCCAGCGTATCCTAGTGCGAGAGGGAATCAGCATCAAGCACTACGAGTAAGAAAGGGGTTGAAACCAAGAACGTGGTAAATTACATACATGTATGGGCTGGTGGGTCAGCCTGTCGAGGTCCTCAAACCCAAGGATGAGGCGCTGGAATCTCTCTACAATCTCGGGAGTCTCCTCCAGGCTGAAAGTATGCGAGCTATCGTTGGGCCCAGAATCCATCTCCGGGGGGTCCGATCGAAGTACCCGGGTGATTCGATCCATCCCTTCATCAAAACCCGTCCTTGTGCCGTCTTGCTCCAGTAGGATGTTTTCATAAACATCCCCAAGGATGCAGTCTAGCACAGCCACGGTATAGGGCCTCAAAATCTGCTCTACTTCGTCCATAGTCGAGGTCAAGATCCTGAGTTCCTCTGCTGTCCTGGGACGGTCGTTTCTCTTGAACTCTTGGATCCTTGCCGCCAGCAACTTGGAGCGGTCTGCAAGCTGGAGCACATGGTCGAGTGGGAGGATATCCCCGACCGTTATGTCTTGTATTGATTGAGACATGCTGTGTATTGTGTAATGTTTTCTTGTATCTCGGGCTCTGAAGTCTTTCAAGTCCTAGGCAGTTTTCGTGTCTTGGTTGTCTTCTTTGTACATATACAGAGACCATTGTATTGAGGGAAAGAAATCTGATAGCAATATATAGTGCTGTTCGTGGACCATTCGAATGGCGGGCTCGTTCAGTCACGCGGTTTTCCTCTACTTAGAGACCTTATTCACCTTCAACGGAGACAGCCTTCTCAGGTGGTCTTAAACCATAATATACCGTAAGAGTGAATCACTCGGTGTCCAAACTTTGTGGCAGCTGTATTGGAAGGGTGGAACAGGTCTCCGTAGCCTTAATGAGCCGTCTCTTTTGTGTATTCTATTTCCATGGCCATCAACTGCTTCTGCCGCAACATTTTGCGGCTCAGTGGCTGAAGTAGGTAGCATGACACGTGGTGGTAACGCGGAAGAAGCCAAAGAGGTGGCAGAGATCTCGATTAAAGGTGCTGTGGGCAGGTAACTGAGCATCATCAGATACAGATACAGGCTCCAAGGTCGTTCGTCTGATAAAGGGGCAAGCGAGGCAGAATCTACAGAGTGGATTGAAATGAGCAAACATTAGCACAATATTTGAATTGGCATAAAATGCCACATAGTGGGACATGTCAGTAATACTGACAATGAAACCAAACGGATGTCTTAGCATCCCTTGCCCTGTTATCTCGGTTCCGATCAACTGGGTCCTCATATGTGGCTCCGATAATGTACTCCGTAGAATTGGGCAATCCGATCGTTGATGAACCCCAGTCCGACGGTGTCAGGGTCCCCGGGTATCATAAATTTCAAGACTCAACGACCAGTCAATGAAGTATATTGTTTGTCGCCGTTGTGGCGCCTGCTCACAAATGACACCTGTGTCCCAGACGCGCAAAAATACCCTCCAGGTTGGTGGATGCCTGTATTCGCTAATCAAGGTTACGGAAGGGACCTTGCCTTGGATATGGTCGTAGAACGAGGCGCACCACTTACATATTCTAGGTACCTCACTTGGCAGGAAGGAGGCGGTACTGACGTTCCTGCTCTCTCCTCCCGATAGCGAAAGACAGGCGGCCTGAGGCGTACCTCCCACACATGCCATGAGAAGCCTTCATATACCCCCTCAAACCCATTCCTGTCACCAGCCAGCAGGCGCCCTCTAGTTCGGGGGTCAGGTCAAACTGGCTGGGTGGTGGAATGGTTAATGGTCAACAACTAAATCACCAACCAGCCTACTCGACGACAGGCTAAGCGCATACGAGTACCGAGTTCGAATCCCAGCATGAGCACCAGAAATTTCCCAGCATGAGCACCAAGAGATGTAGCCCCCAGTTCAGCACCGGGGGGTGAACTCTTTTGTCGGTCTGAATAATTTTTAATGCTTATATTAAGTACCTTAGCCAGTCTTAGGGTCTTAGGTTCAATATGATGGATGTCATCTCTCGTCTGGGTGGCTTATCTTTTGGCCCCTTTTGATGAGGTGCCATGTTCTGGTCAAAACCCATACCACCTACCTATCTGTAGTGACAACATGACTGATGTTCAGGTATTCTTCTCGGCAGATCCTCGTGTATTCAATTATAACAATATACCCTCAGCAAGTTATTGGGGATATTGGCTTGTGTTGATGCATTTGGAGGCCCGTTGAAGAATATTAAGCTCTTGGAGAAAAAGGCGTTGGGTAGATGTAAGTGGACGTTTGACTGTAGACGTTGCATTGCACGAGGGAGTGACGATCGTGCCCCCACATGGTATCGTCCGAACCCCACTTGAATCGGTAGCGCCTGCGCTTCTCTCAGCCCAAGCGGGATCAGGCGAAATGCCCCGCGCATCCCCTATTTGTTGATCCCCACGTGATCGCAATTATGCACCTTATGACGCGTGTTGTGTACACAGAACAGACGCGACGCACAAGTGACAACTGTGACGATGTGCTGGCGGGCGGTCAACTAATACGTAAAGTCCCCTGCCCACTACCTACCTACCCTGCCACCAGCTGCAAGTTGTCAGAAGCAGCTACACACCGCACTTACCCAAAACTTCACTTTCGAGACATTTTCTTTCGCTACCGACCTGTCACTTTATTCTTTATCCCAGCCTTTTGGTTCATCCGAGACACCACGCAGGATTTCATGGGTTTTGCGCCTCTGCCATGGCCTCTCCATTCGACAGAGCGCCATCGCGGCGCCCATCACTGCTGAACATATCCTCTCATGATGGGGACAAGGACCTGGCGCATTCCCTCAAGCAGCTATCCCTTTCGACATCATCCGCCAGTAACTCACCCCGGGCTTCGAGCGCCCTGTCTCCTATGAGACCGGCCGTAAATCGAACATCTCCGGCACCGAGTCCTCGAGCCCCGTCTCGAAGTCCCTCCTTTGCGAGGGAGCTCTCCCGCTCCCGATCTTCGACGCCGACGCTGCAGCGATCTTCAACGCCAACACTTCAGCGCAAGACCTCCACGAGTTCCTTACACTCTGTGAGTGGCTCTTCAAGCCGAACCCCTAGCCGAGCGCCTTCGAGGCGAACTAGCATGGTGCATGCCTCTTCTCCCGTCGCCAAATCCCCTTTGCGGCCGAGCCCCCCTGAGTACATCAAGCCTGCGCCCACAGCGAATACGGTTGCCCGCGATTACTTCAAGACCGAACTAGAAGTTCACCACTCGCCAACTTCGACTAGAGCTACTGAGACCCTTGTTATCCTCCACGATGCCTGCTACGGACACCGTTTCTCCCGACCCAAGACCTCTAAAGGTGCCCTCAGCACCATCGTTGAGCGCCCTGAGAGAATCAAGGCCGGCGTTTTGGGAGTCGCCATGGCCTACGTGCGACTCGGTGAACGGCACTGCGATGGCGCATATGCGCTGCATCCAAGCCTGGATCCCTCCACTATCCCGACGATTCCGTTTCGCATCTACAAGACCGAGCGAAGATTGCCCCTGACATCGGCGGCTGTCACAAATGTCCACGGCATCAAGTGGATGGAGGAGCTCAAGATGATGTGCGAAGGAGCAGAGATAAAGTTAGCGACTGGTGGGAAGGAACTTCAGAGGCCAGAATTAAACAGGGGTTCAGACGGACCGCCTGCGAAATTCCACGAGGGTGACCTCTATCTTTGCTCCGAATCGCTCGAGGCCTTTGAGGGTGCTTTGGGTGCCGTCTGCGAAGCCGTAGACCGAGTTTTCACATCCGGCCCTCGGCGAGCCTTTGTCGCTGTACGCCCACCGGGACATCACTGCTCAGCTTCTTTCCCGTCAGGGTTTTGCTGGGTTAATAACGTCCACGTCGGAATTATGCATGGCATTTTGAACCATGGTCTTACCCACGCGGCCATCATCGATTTCGATCTTCACCACGGAGATGGCTCTCAAGCTATTACTTGGGCGCATAACTCGCGAGGAGTGAATGCGGCCAAGAACACGGCAGCTTGGAAGAAGGCGTCCATCGGCTACTTCAGTCTTCACGATATCAACTCGTACCCCTGTGAGTGGGGTGATGAGGAGAAGGTCAAGAACGCCAGTTTGTGTATTGACAATGCTCATGGCCAAAACATCTACAACGTCCACCTGGAATCGTATGGTTCAGAGAAGGAGTTCTGGGAGCTGTACGAGACCAGATACTCAATTATTCTGGAGAAGACGCGCAAATATCTGAAAAACCAAGCAGCTCGGCTTCGCGCTCTGAATATGCCTCCCAGGGCGGCGATCTTCTTCTCGGCGGGATTTGATGCTAGTGAGTGGGAGACCAAGGGTATGCAACGTCATAATGTGAACGTTCCTACCGAGTTTTACGCTCGTATTGCTCAAGATGTCGTGAAGCTTGCCGCGGAGGAAGGCTTGGGAGTTGATGGGCGGGTTATCAGCGTGCTTGAGGGTGGCTACAGTGACCGAGCTCTTTACTCTGGCATTTTCAGCCATCTGAGCGGACTTTCAGGAAACCAGACCCCGGAAGAGCCCACTCGGGGTCGCTCTTCGCTCGGCGACGAAATGGCAGGGCAGATTGCTGCAACCATTACTGGCGAACCATCTCTACATCCTTACAAACCGTCATGGTGGTCAAGCTCCGAACTTGACGAGCTAGAAGTCGCGATGGGCAACAGACCAACCAGCCCCAAGATGATCCGGCACTCAACTCCGCCGACATACTCAACTCCCACACAGGCGTCGATTGGTAAGTCCATAGATCCGGCGAGGATGAGACGGATGGCGTCCGGCTTGTCGAATGGAATGCCATATTCGAGACCAGCAACACCACCGCCCCCTGACGTGCCATGGACCATAGCAGCCCATGAGCTGAGCAGGCTACTCATCCCGTCAGATCGCCAAGTCGATAGCTGCAAGCCTGAAGACCTGAATGCAGAGGCGACAAGGGCTCGGAGAGACCGGCAGTCGATTCTAAACCCTGATCTTGTGCCGCCGGCACCTGCTCCCGCGCCCGCGCCGAAGCCAGCAAGCAGGCCCACTTCGCGGATGTCTTTAAGAGAGCGGAAGCCAGCGAAGCCTGGCTTGTATGTTGACGTAGACGAAGATGATGACAAGCAGTCCAAGAACCGGCGGAGAACGGTTGCGGGCCCTGCTGCGCTATCATCTGAGAAGGTTTGTCACTCCTCGTAGTATCTCCAATAGACTCATACTGACGGTACCACTAGGCAACGGCCCGAGGCATACCCTCTGACACAAATGGAGCAGCTAAGCGACCCGGTCGACGCCTTAGTGGTGTGTCTATTGTGACTTCGAATGCTCCCAATACAGAGCCCGAGGGCTACGGAGTTTCAGCCCAGCGTCCCGACACTTCTATGAGCGTGCGACCAGACACGGCGATGAGCGTCAGAACTCAGAGTGCTACGTCTTTGAATGTTAAAAAGACAAGGGCTCCAGCAGTCAAGAAAGAAGCCCCCAAAACCACAAGAATTGTGAAGAAGCCTGCCACAACGGCGAAACCCTCCCCTCCCCAGCAGGCTGGGCCATCGCAGCCACATCAAGGAAATCCGAGCCCAGCTGCTGCATCGGAGGACGATATGGACAAGTTGACTGCCGGTATGAAGAAGGTCAAGATCAACTTGATCACGAAAACACAGAAAGAAGAGCGTGCTAAGGCAGCCCAAGCAGCTCAAGCCAAAGCTGCCACATCCCCCAAAACCGAAGAAGCAAAGACGGGTTTCCCGTTTGAAGCTCAGAAGGCTTCGTCGCCGGTGGCACCTCCGATCATCACACCTCCGCAAGACGAGGCTTTCGCTACACCGCCGACGCAGCCCCCGGCCGTCAAAGATCCGTCACCGCCTGCTGTCCCGGAAGGCCGGCCTGAAGTCTCAACTCCAGTGACCGAGCTGATGCCTCCCGCCGCCACCCCTGATCCCCGTTCAGTAGAACTCCCTGCAAGCTCACCCGCTGCTATGTCGCCGACCGTTGCGACACCCTCATCGGACGTCTTCATCAACTATCAACCGGAGGGCCCTGCCCCTGTGTCTGTGACGCCGTCAGAACCCCTAAAGTGGATGCCGCCCAACACCAATACACCCGTCAAAGCCTCGCCGTCTAAGCCATCACCGGCAAAGCTGTCATCAGCTAAAGCGTCACCAATGAAGAAGTCCCCGGTAAAGATGATGCGTGCAGATCTCCCAGTCTTCACCTCCACGTCTGCCATCCCATTTGCGCCGCCGGCGATGAGCGCTCCGTCTGAGATCAAGCAAGAACCGGCAGTCAAGGCCGATCCGGAGGAGCCGGCAAAGTCGGTCTGGGATATCCCGGAAACTCCGCAGATGCAATAGTGCGCTGTACCGCTGACCGAGGAGTTGGAGTGGAAGCACTGTTAGAGATTTGGCTTCTCACAGTCCTTTAAAAGTTTTTTTGTTCGTTTTGTCTCCTTTGCCCGACGCTTCTTAAGTATAGCCCCTTTGCCCTGTTGATCTGGCTATATGAGCCGCATAGGTACTTGGAGTTCGCCGTCTTGATACCCTCCCGTCCGAGTTATTCCCTTTCTTCTTGATTCTCTGGTTTCTCTATGAATACTATAAACCTCTTTTCTTGTACCTAATCATGGACTTTGATCCTGCCATTGAAGCAATTAGAGACATTCTCGACGTAAAGCCATGATTGGTCAAAATGTCTATAATCGTGACATGGTACCGAGATCTCATGTAACCTCGTGGGCGTCCGCGAAAAGCCTTGGCACGCGGAGACTCGATATAGCGGGATTATGCGCGTCAACGTGGACGGATCAACGTCAGCGATTTGCTGCGGCTACCCGTCGGCCCCGAAATTTTTCTTTGGTGGGGAACCCATTACAGCGCACGTTTTACGCATCCCAACCTAAGTCGGCCAATTGACCGGGTTCTTATCTTGAAGTGATCGGAGATACTCGAATCCTGTTACACATATTCGGCTGGAATATCGCATCTCATCCTCAGACATTTTGTAGATTTTGCAATTCACCGCTCATCGAAATTGTGAGACGTGGCTCAGTTGGAGCTTTCACTTACTGTCTCTCAAACTACGTCACCAGCCAGCGCCTTTACGAACTTGGCCAGCATCGGGAACCTGACTCATCTCGAGTTCGTCTCATCTCATCTTATCTCAATTTCTCTCACTTAGACCGACAACCCAATATACACACATCTCCATCAGCTCACCATGGCGTTCACGATGCACTCCCACTCGGGGCAATTCTGCCCCGGCCACGCAAAGGACCAGCTCGAGGCTATCATCCAGCATGCGATTAGTATCGGCTACAAGACCATGGGTCTGACGGAACACATGCCCCGTCTCGAGATTGGGGACCTCTATCCTGAAGAAGTAAACACTACAATCCCCATCATATTCCCCAGAGATAACCATAACTCTTAAGAGACTGCATCCTGACAATCTTGACCAGCTCGAAGAAGGAGACCCCCAAACAGCCCTCTCCATCCTCGCCCCCCGCCACGAAGCCTACCTCGCTGAAGCCCAACGCCTGCGCGAAAAGTACGCCCCGCAAATCGACCTCCTCATCGGCTTCGAAGGGGAGTGGTACCGCCCAGCCTACGGTCCTTTCATCAAGTCCCTCGCGTCCCACCCGGCGGTGGACTACTTCATCGGGTCCCTGCACCACGTCAACGCCATCCCCATCGACTACAGCCGGGAAATGTACGTCGACGCCATGAAGTCGGCCGGCCCCGATGAGGAGAGCATGTACGCGCGGTACTACGACCAGCAGCACGAGATGCTGACGGCGCTGGAGCCGCGCGTGGTGGGCCACTTTGACCTCGTGAGGCTCATGAGCGAAAACCCGGGGAGGGATGTGAGGCTATGGAAGGGGGTGTGGGAGAAGATTGTGAGGAATCTGGAGGTCGTGAAGGGGTACGGGGGCTTGTTGGAGTGTAATAGCAGTGCGTTGAGGAAGGGTCTTGATGAGCCTTATCCGTGTCGGCCTATTGCAGAGGTGAGTTCTCCCCCCCTCCTCACCCTCTTCTTGTTCCTTTCTCCAGAACATCGAAAGACATCTTGGAGTGTGTTAGCAGTCACTGATTTCTTGCGACTAACTCTTATATGACAGGCATGGTTGGCAATGGGCGGGCGCTTCACATTCTCAGACGACAGCCACGGCATCGCACAGGTTGCGACGAATTACAAGCGCAACGTGATCTACCTCGAGAGCCTGGGCGTCAAGGAAGTTTTCACTTTTGAGCGCGGGCCCGTGGAGGGGGTCAACGGGGATGCCAAGGCCATGTTGCGGGAAAAGGGTGTTGCGTTGGCGGCGTTTCGGGAGAACTTCAACTAGAGGAGGCGTGAGCGCGATAGAGTTGTAAACAAAGAACACGTAAGAGAAAAGAAAACAGCTGGTGTAGAGAATAGACGTAGAGGTGTGAGATAGATGAACGTTATGGCAAAGGCCCACGCATGTTCGGTTCCATTCTATTACTCATTGTGCAATTGATCTAGCATCCATCATCTCCCTGTGATCGATATTTCAAGCGATTGCTCATCAAATTCCGGTGCTTTCAATGCAGGCAGGAACGTATAAGAATTGTCAAGTGAAGCGCCGGCGATGAACCATGATCTCAAGTCTTGAATTCCAGGGACTTGAAGCACACAATTCAATCACAGCTAACAATATGCCACTCAACATCCTTTCAGATGAAGTAAAAATTTGAGAGGGTACCTGTGTAACAGGACCGTCCTGACCATTGATCCCACCACGAACCCTAATATATCCCACAAAAACTCAAACCCCGAGTTCTCATGCACCATCACCAAACCACCACCACAACCAAAACAAAACTCACGATACCTTCAGAGAAGGTGAAAAAAGACTGACCCCCACCCGATTTGAACGGATAACCTTTCGATCTGGAGTCGAACGCGCTACCGTTGCGCCAGAGGGCCATTTTGTGTGTTGTGCCGAATCTCAAGCTCGAGAGGCGGAGTTGACGATGCAGTCGGGAAATGGGTCTATGAATGGAAGCGGGGTGGAGTGGCGCCTGCAGAGTCGGACAACGGAGTCTTTGGAAATGAAAGTGGGCCTCATGAATTAAGGGCAAGTGTGCCGCTTTCATGCAGGACAAGAAATGCAGACTCATTCTCTCGGGTAAGACGCTGCAGAACGATTGGCGAGTCAAGAATTTCTACATGATTCGAGGGTTTAGTCATTCCAGCAGATATTGGGGTCTCAATTCATAGTTGCATAGAACAATTTCGACGTATAGCCAAAACCAAGGCACCTGTACTAATTGACACCTAGAAGGCGGAGACAGCACTGCGCCCTTGAGACCTGACTTAGGTTGTCATCCAAAGCTACCAAGCTAGGTCAGGCAATCGCAAGTAGGCTTTTCAAGCTTTTCAAGAGCCTCTTGATCCAAGTCAGGCGAATTAGACCTGGCTTTCAGCCCATGGACTTATCGACTCGCACCGAAAGTGGTGAAACTTCATCTGGCTGTTGAAGATGCATCCAACTAGTCTCAGCCATTGCCGCTTTCGGTGCAAGTGTCTGTTACTTACTTTTCCAGCACCCTTTCTTCTTCTGTCTGAAAGCTTGCGAGAGAGGAGCGGGCGGCCTTGGTAGGTTCGTCACTGTTGAAGCATTTTTTTGTCAATTTTTGCAAGATCCTTCGACTCATCCTTTGCATCGACAAGATCAGTAAGAACTCGCAGATGCACACGAAGATATTGAATCCCGCCTTTCCACTAGCGTTCCCAGAACCCCGGATCTCATCCGAGAAGAGCTAAGACAGAGGGGTTTGCGGGAAGTGTGTTTGCATTCTTGGACCATGAATTGGCATACACCACTTGAGCCGGATGCGGCCGACCTCGATGACCTCATTGGACTGGCATGGTTGTAAGTCAGCCCTAAGAAAATAGCCTCGTGCTTTAATAGGAATAAGCTTTAGCCCGTCAATTTAGTCTGCATCTCCGACCCCCATGGATGCTTTGCCATTGAGCCACTGGTCGTGTAGTGTAGGTACTTGAAGACGCCTTGCCGTGGTCGTCCTTGTCCTGATGCATCACCCCGGCTTCATCGATGAGGGACGACCAGGCGGTCTCCGCAAATGGAACAACTTTGTTTCGTAGAAACAAATACCTGCCTGATTTCTAGCTTACTGGCTTTGAGGAGCTGGTAGATAAAACAAGCGTTGCCTACCTTGTCACGATAAAGCTCGAGCAGCTTTCGGCTCCTCATATCTAATCCGTGTCCTGATAGCCCAGGAACCAAAAACGCATCATGACTGTGATAAATAGTCAATCTCTCGGCGGCGTCTTCGTCTTGGCCGGCTTCGCCGCTGCCCAGGGACAAGGAGACGTCGACCCCTTTGCGCCCGTCTACGCAAACTGTCCCTCAGGCTTGGCGGTGCGGTCCGCTTCAGAGGTTAGTTGAGGTTTACCCCATGAACTTCAGGGATAGCTATTGACTTGTCATTTTCAGGGACTCTCACGATCGGAGTCATCATGGAAGGTAAGTCGTGGCGAAAAGGTTGTGCCTGCGCTCAGCTCGTACCTCGCATTGGCAAATATCTCTGGATTCGATGTCCAAGCCTACATCCAGCGCCTCAATACCTCCAATTATCCCGTCGTTGGTCTCTCCATCTCCGGAGGAGGCACGCAATCAGGTGTTGGAGGTCTTGGTATATGGCAGGCTTTCGATGCCCGCAACCCAGCTGCCGTTGCTGCTCGTACGGGTGGTTTGACGCAAGTTCTCTCATACATCACTGGTCTAAGTGGCGGAGGTGCCTTGACCGTGAGCACATTGTAAGTCTTGACGATTATTCTCTAACTTACTTCGTCTCTCTTTCTCCACTCAATATAGAATGCTCACATTTTTCGCAGAGCTGCCAATGATTTCATTTCCATAAGTTCTCTAAGAAAGCAAATCAACTTCACTGTGGATTACACCCTGGGTCCCGACGGCAACATCACCACATATCTAACAGACATCTTTGAAAATGTTGGCGCAAAGGCAGAGACGGGACTCCCTGTCTCCGTCGCAGATGCCTTTGGCCAATTCTGGGCAACCTATCTCCCAGAGAACCGTACTTATGGCAACTTCTCTGATCTCGCCCAATCCGGAACGGTCTTCTCTTCAGGCGAAGCCCCAATGCCCATCATAGCCCTCTCCGAGGTCATCCCCGGACAATCACCCACAATCGGTGGCATCATGTGGCCTGGGAGAAACAACACCAACGGATTCAATCTGACTTCCTACGAAGTGACGCCCTTTGAGTTTGGAAGCTGGCGAGGTGGAAGAATCCAAGCCTTCATGCCGACAATGTACCTCGGAACCTCCATGTCCAACGGCACGGCCCAGAACAGCAGCGAGTGCGTCCAGGGGTTCGACAAGTTCACCTTTATCCAGGGATCTACAGCCGACGCTTTCGACGCGTGGTTCATTGACGACTGGTACGACACTCCAATCTTTGCCAAGCGGGCGCTCAAAACGGGCCCGCCATCCACCTCGGTCATCGTGCCTCCCCCTCAGTTTGAAGACGACGGCCGCGTGATCCTCGTCAACCAGACCGCAGAGTCCTTCAACCAGACATTCAACGAGTCTCTGTGGGCCACCTACCCGAACCCCTTTGAGAACTACAACCCCGCCATGCAAGGGATTGACGAGCTCCTCCTCGTCGATGGCAGCCTCGGCGGGGAAACGAACCCCATCCGGCCCCTCATCATCCCCGAGCGCCAGGTCGACCTGGTCATCGTGTACGAGGCCTCCTCGGATGCGCAGTACAACTGGGTAAACGGCACCAACCTCGTCAACACGGCGCAGTCAGCGGCCCAGGGCAACATCCCCTTCCCGCGGATCCCCGACGTCGCGACGCTGGTGACGCAGAACCTGACCAAGCAGCCCACCTTCTTCGGCTGCGACGCCGCCACGTCGCCGCCCACGCCGCTGGTGCTCTACTTGCCCAACTCGCCGTGGTCCGGCTACAGCAACTTTTCCTTCTTCAAGTCCTCCTTCACGGACAACGAGTTCGACCTCACCGTCGACAACGCCTTTAACCTCGCGACCTACGGCAACGGTACGGTGGACGCAGTGTGGCCCGCCTGTCTCGCCTGCGCGACGATCCGCGGAAGTCTGATCAGGGCCGGTATTGACCTGCCTGAGCAGTGTCAGGAGTGCTTCCGCCGCCATTGTTGGAACGGGCAGGTTGCTACTCGTGCAATCACGGCGGACGATCTCGATCCCAAGCTGAGGCTCAACTCGACCTTGTCGTATGCTGAATGGAATAAGACGTATTGGAGCAGTCAGACGAGCACGGGTGGTGCTAGCGGCAGAGGAAGTGGCGGGAGCAGCGGCACCGGGACCGGAGGCAATGGCGGCGGTGGTGCCTCATCCACACCCTCGGCATCGGCCACGGCGAGCCCCTCTGGTGCACCGAGTTCGGCCGAACTTGCACGAGTGGCGGCTGCTGTGACTGTGGCTTCTCTGGTTGCTCTGATAGCATTGCTATAAGCTAGGATTATGGGGTATCATTTCTACACTTAATATAACCAACAAGTTCTTTCAAGAACTGAAAAAGACATTGTGTTTGTGTGGCATCAGCAGCTCAGGGGCAAACGGCCCGTAGTCAGGATGTGCCTGCTCCATGCCAAGGACATCCGCAAAAATTTCTCTTGCCTGTGCACACAGTAACGGCATGTTGCTCAGTAGACCCTGGGCAAGATGCATCCAGTCCGTTATTCCAGAGAGCTTCAAGCGAAGACTCTAGTAGTTGCGTGAGTCAGCAAGGCCGTACCTTCAAACACAAGAAAAGGAGTGTGTCCGATCTGATCTCACCTCAAGTTGTTCCTTGACATCATTGTCTTCCTCCAAGGGTGCCGTCACTCTCATGGCTCTCTGCGTATGGACGACGTATTTGGCAATCTTGTACATCTTGGAACAGCCGTCCAGCACGTTGTTCAAATCACATCCTTCTTCCTTCAATCCTGCCAAGAATTGGATAAATTGGCCTATGACCCTGACATTGAGATGAGCCTCTGATCCTGCGGGCTCCTCGAGTGCCGACCACAAGAGTATCAAGCTGGCCATGATAGGATAGCCGAGAAGAACCCTGTCGGAAGTGTTAGTAAGCTTTACAGAAAATCAAGGATTTTTGAAACTGACCATATATTTACATAAGGTTGAGGTGGCATCACCCGTAGAAGATCAATGATTGCCCGAGCCGCCGACGTACACTTGGAGTGTGACTGCTCTATGCTGGGAAAGGCGCCCCTGTTCACCCAGTCCGAGTACAGCGAGGACGACGGCTGTATGCTCGTCGCATTCTTGAGTCGCGCCAGATTGATGTTGGTCTTGATCAGAGTGCTGAAATAGATGAAATGCATCAGGGCGGTGTGCATGTCCAGCGCTCCTGTCGTCGAGGGGGTGGAGGGGTCCGGTCTCGAATCTTGCGGGAGCGAGCTCTTCCACTCTTCCAGCTCACAATTGGACAGTATCATCATCATATGATGCTCCGTGCCTGACTGGAGCTGAAGATTGTGTGGGGAAAACTTTCCATGGAGTGTGACTTGAGTCCTTGATAGTTGTGCCATGCTACTAAGGAGGCACGGCGAGTGCGAGATGCCATCAAAAACGGTGGCGTTCTTGGCTGGAAGCTCAACGGTGACATCGTCATGAGCAAAGGGGTGAGATAGTCCATACTTTGCCATCATATCGGTGTTGAGTATATGTGTTGCCCAAAACACCCGCTTACGCCGCGCCGACTCGACGGCATCGAGGTTGGCATAGGTTTCCCTCTTGTGCAACCCAATGATCTGCGCGGTTCGGGCCGCCGCAGAAGCCAGCTGAGCTGTCGTGCGCGCATCGGCCGTCTGCAACGAGAACGTTGCTATAGCCAGCAAGGCCTCACAGGCCAACACGTTTGTCCCCTGAAGGAGGAGTTCGGGGACGATGGTGTATGCGTTCTTGTAGTATCCCCAGCTCAAGCCGCCAAAGCGCTCAAAGGAATCATTCGCGGTCCTCCACCGCATGGCGGCCCCGAACATGGCGTTTGCAATCGCGCGCCTGGCCGAAGTATCACAGTCATTTTGATCGGCGTGAACCCCGTACTGTTTGTCAGTATGCCCTAGGAATGTCTCCCTCGTCATGGCGGGACAGAAGAGCTGCACTTCCTCCATGACGGTGACTTCCAAATCCAAAATGTAGTCTTGAGGCGGAAACCGTGCAAAGGTGCTTCGGCTGAAGGGCCTCCGATCTACAGTTGCCTCAATCTGACTTCGAGCGTTGCGAAGTCCTTCTAGCACGGAAGTCCGCCCGAACAGATCTTTGGGGAGGAAAGGGAGAGCATAGGGTGGCACCCTTTCGCTCCGGCTGGGCCCAGGATCGGCCGGATTACGCTGTCGTTGTTCTGCGGCATGACTCTGTATTTTCTGCGCCAGACTTTTCGGTACCTTTATACGACGTTCGGTAGGTTGGGAAAGCAAAGTATTAACGAGGCCTTGGGATTGACCTTTTGGATCCTCCAGGGACAACTGGCCACTGAGACTGCCAATTTCAGCCACATCGGGCGCCTCGGCACTCTGGCGTTTTCCTCCTAGCTCGGAATCAACTTTGTTTCTGGGCAGAACGTCAGCAATCATCGACAGAATAAGCACCCGCACTTGGTACTGACTTCCGCCCAGGGCCTCTCTTCCTGCGCTCAGTGTATACGCAGGGTACGCCCGACCTAGTGCAGAGTCCACAGGCCGGTTCACCTCCATCGCAGCGTCTTTTGCGTGATTTACAATAGGCACATGCCTGTGAATGGTGATCAGTTTAGTTCATATCGACCCCGACTGGATGGTAGGGATGCGGATTTGCTTACACTATAAATCCGCTTCTTAGTGACTTCCTCCGCATTGCTCTCGACGGTACTGGTGGCCTCGGCGACACCGGCCATGTTTGCTAGGTGGTCTCTTCGCCCCTCGGAGATACCTTGAATAGAGAAAAGAGCTCTTGTTTGATTCCGCTGGAAAGATGGGCAAACAGTGTGCTTCATGCGGGAGTTGTCGTGGGTAGTCGGGGGGGATGTATAAGTGGGCGGATATTATTAAGCTTCCGCCCTTTGTGTAGTAGTCGGGAGAGATGGCGGATACAACTGCGGATGTTTCTGGGATGTTTTGTATCCCCCGCTACAGTCTTTCTTGACTAGCTTACCCCAGCTTTCCGCAAATCAGCGTTCAGAACGGCCTTAGACTATCATCAAATCGGAGACATAATTATATCCGCCGAGTCAATGGAAGTTCTGAACCAAGGTGCTTCCTCCACAATTGCGCCATCTCATCCTTCCTCGATTCTGCACTTTCGACGTCCAAAGTCCCGAGTCATTGCCAAACGGGTCGGAAGAGGCATCGTAACCTCCGACCTTGCGTAATAATGGCGGAGTCGTATCACTATACCGTCGGACTTTCAGTCTCAACCGCACAGACGGAAAGTTCAAGTAAAGAGTATGTTATCAAGTGTATAAGAGGACGCGAGAATCGCGACGAACACCAAGCGATCAACACACAACGATAGCAGACGACAGCAATCATTTCAGCACGTCATATCTGGAACACTTACCAGATCATCCCCTCCAAATCACGAAGATGAGCTCTTTCAAGAACGTCGCTCTCCTTGGCGTAAGTCCACACCCCAGTCTCAGAAGTCAGAGCACCTGAGATGCTAAGAAGTCTTCAGAAAGGCCTCTTGGGAACCGCAATCACCTCTGAACTTGCCAACGCTGGCTTTAATGTCACGGTATTCGGCCGCGCTGAGTCTGCTCCAGAAGACCTCCCCGCTGGCGTGCACTACAAGACAATCGACTACTCCTCAGTCGAGACCATCGCCACGGCCATCAAGGGGCAGGATGCCATCGTCTCAACACTCAGCAAGGGCGGTCTTCTCATCCAGAAAACCATCATCGACGCCGCTATCAAGGCCGGCGCCAAGCGCTACATCCCTTCCGACTGGGGCTCCTTCACCACCGACCCCAAGGCGGCGGCCGAGCTTACCGTCATGATGAAGCCCTTTACCGACACCCAGAACTACCTGAAGCAAAAGGTCGGCGAAATCGAGCACACGATCTTCTCCGTCGGCGGCTTCACGGACCTCGTCGTCAAGTTCCCCATCGCCTTTGACTACGCGAACAAGACGGCCGCCGTGACGAACGGGGGCCACGCCCGCTTTGCCAGCACCAGTCTCGCCGGTATCGGCAAGGCGGTCGCGGGCGCTCTGAAGAACCCCGAGGCGACCAAGAACCGCAATCTGAAGATCCAAGAGTTCGAGGTTTCTCAGGCGAAGCTGCTTGCGCTCGCGAAGAAGTACTCGCCGCCCGGTACCGAGTGGAAGGAGACTGAGCTTGACGGTGAGGTTGAGCTGGAAAAGTACCTGAAAGCCGCACAGGAGGATCCTACCAACGAGTTCGCTATGTTTGGTCTAATCAAGGCTGCCCTACTTAGCGGCCGATACAAGTCTTCTTACGACAAGCTCGATAACGAGCTTGTGGGCCTCCCGGTTCTGACGGAGAATGATCTGGAGGCTAAGTTCGCGGAGGTGTACAGTCTTTAGACCGGTTTGCCACTCCACAATCTACACAGTCAAAATACCTAGTGTGGCCTACTTGTAATAAGGCTATGATGAGCAGAGAATGAACTCTATTTGCAACCATTTTAGCAGTAGAGAATAGACTTCATTCAGGCAGCTGTGGCGTCGTTGTGTGCGCCTAGAGAATGACTAATCGACAAATATGTGATAGCCATTTCCTTTCGCGGACGCAATTCTTGCGGTATCAAGCACGAATAAAGTCAATGTTCGTTGGTTTTCTATGTACAACAGAACTATCGAATGAGCGACATCGTCAAGCGAACATGCATAAACGAGCGTTGAAATGTAGTGGTTCCGATCGCCTCAACAGAAAGAACGTTTGGCTCGGATAGAATTATGCTTCAACGCCTCGAAACCATCGCATCTAGTCTAGAAGCCTAGTAGTCATAATGGGCCTATCATAGTCGCGAGGAAGGAAGAAAATTATGTCAATCACGCCACAAACATTGGTGTAACATTGCTAGAATTCTAGTCAGCTACAACTTTTCAATCCTAAGTCTGTTCACTTAGTGCATTTGAACACTCCAACACCCTGTAACCAAACTCATATTAAACACGACATAATGTAACCCTTCAAAGGAGATAGCGCTTGAAAGTTAGAGGATAGAACTCATATTGCCATGGACGGTGCACCACACTGACAACCCATGCAGTGCAACGACATCCACTCCATCACGAAATAAAGATACATGGAGAATACAAACAGCAGAGTATCTAATGGTCACAGATGCGCCCGCATGTACCCCGGGCCAACGTGATCTAGACCACCACTCCAACCTGAGATGCAAATCGGATGCCGCAGTGACAATCAAAAGCCTGTTCCATCCAAATGTACAAAACCCCATTGTCGTCTAGATGATAGGGTGAAATGGACCAGGTCTGACATCTGATATCACTCGCTTCCCTCCTCTTTGCAGGCGCCCTCATTTCGCATTCAGGATTGCTTGCTTCCAAGCCCGCGCCGTCGATTCTTGGCAACACATCCCCCGGGCAGCTACTAGAAAGATTATGCAGTGTTCCAACTTCCCGCAGGATGGCGCTCTCTCCAGTGTCCACACTCCACAAGCGCGCGAATCTTGGCAAGGGGGCGGCACCCCTTTCGATCCTACTGCCAGCCCGGGACGTCCGGCAGACAGGCCTAGCCGGTTGCCGCTGAGCATCGCAACATGAGACCCAGGGGAGGAAGAGCAACGGAGAAGGGGGGGGGGGGTCCTGGAGTGGGGACGTAGGGATGGCGTGAGAGCACTGGGCAGTCAAAACTGCTTCTTGTAGGGGGGTGTGGTGTTGGCGTGACAGTACCTTGGAGGATCACGTTGGCTGGAAGCCTGGAATGGTCTCTGAAATCAATCCGCTGGCTGCCACTGGATAAGGGCCCTCGTCAGCCATGGGATAGTCGAATTGCATGGCCGTTAGAAGGCCAGCATGGGGAGAGTGAGGTTATGTTTTGGGGAAGGGGGTTGAATTCACTGCAGCACCATATCTAAACCATCTTCGTGTTGCCATGCTGAAGCTGCCATTATCAAACTTCAAGACATCAGGTCATTATCTCGAGTCAGTTTGAGTTTCATGATCTGTATACTTCTTCTTATACGCCGGGTTATTATGAGAGTTTTCGTATATGCCAGTGTATCCTTAGCGTTTTTGGACAGTCTAAAGCTCCAAGGCGAATACGATTAATATCCAAGACCCACTCGCCACACGAAACGGCTATCGAGACCACGGCAACAACAGATGGGTCCCAGAACGTTCCGTGTCAGTTGTCGATTTATCGGCCGATCGGACAAGAGAGAGGGGGAGAGAGGCAGCCGAGGAGCCCTTTGATCCACTGTGACAGAGAAGCTGGTCTCGTTGGAATTTGCACAGGGCGGAGTATCTGACCCGTAGATGGATATTTGGGAAGATATTGGCAGGCAGCCAAATCTCTAATCGTAGAGAACTATATCTCAGGGCCCTCGTGAGGATCAATCTAAGCGTGCTATAAGAGAAAGTACAAATACTTGCTCCTTGTTGAACTTGTTGCTCTAGACTGTGGACCGTGGACGCAAGTTCGCAAGCTTATCCCACGGGGGTTGCTCCCGTCTTCCCCCCTTTCCTCCCAACTCCAATTGCCTAAATTATCGAGGATGAAGCCGATAATTGTCGCGTTGATCATAAGATCAAGCCGTCGTGTGTGCCAGTGCTCCTGGAAGAAGGATAAAACAGTCCAACAACCCAATCACGCCTGCAGCATCACCTATTGCCAAGGAAATTCTGTCTCGTCGTTTGAGCATCGAGTCACGGAAGCGTCCCCCTTTCGGATCGGTCCGCTGACCGATGTCGCTGTTGTTGGCGTCATCGACTTTTCGGCTCCCGTATGTGCTCCCACTCTGTGCGTAAGGATTGCCCGAAAGAGTAGTACAGATAACCACCATCAACAACTACCCCTTGACCGATGCTCGTTGATCGTTGATCGTTGACCGTTGACCGTTGGCCGTTGATGAACCCAGATCGACGCAGCATGGCAATGGTTATCACCGGCAGTGCGCCGTTGGCTCCGGGTAAGTATTCTCACACACTAGCACGCGAGCGGGTGCGTGTACTGTAGTCTCCGGGAAGGCTTCCTCCTCCCCGTTGCGGCGGTGATACCCCCGCCTCGCTTCACCATCGTTCCTCGTCCCCCATCTCGCTGATGTCGCCGAGCCGCCGAGGCGACGCCGAGGTAAATGGGGTTTCTCGAAATCCCATCTAAACATGTCCATGCCGGTCGGGGCGCGTTGCGAGAAGGGCCAATCATACATGGCTGCATCATATCTCCCACATCACGGACAATAGAGCGCCCGTTTCTTTCTTTTCTCTTTCTTCCTTTTTGCTGGTATCCAACCGAGGGGGGGGAGGGGAGGGGTGGCCGGCCCGTTATTCAATGTCAAGAAAAGGCCTAGAACAATTTCAGAAGCAAGTTTGACAGCCCCCGCTAACGGGCGTTTTGGTGGCACCCCCTTTCTGTCTTGCAGCTCGTGGGCGGCGATCCCCCATGCGAGCAAAGTTGCAGAAAGGCCAGGCGTGGCAGAGAAAGCTCCCCCGGAGCTAAGCTAGTTGACGGGTCCCCTTTTAGCGTTCCCGCGGGAAATTTCGTAGCCGTTTGAAAACACATGAGTCGCGTCATTTTGTTGCCATTCTGGGTAATCTCTTGACTAGTCAGGAGGTAAAAGGTTAGGGATTATGATACTAACAATGAAGTAAATGAAAGGGAGAAAAGTGACGCGAACCTATCAAATGGCGGTGGAGTTTTGGGCAGCGAGAATGAGGTTCACTCATTTTGCGTAATTAGGAAAAAATTAGTATGGTATCCAGCTTTGGGCAGCGACACACCACCACCACGCCCACCGCGCCCAGACTAAGCCTTGAGAAGTTTAGCCAATGAGTGACGCCCCGGTTGCCATTCTCGGAAGAGCCCCGTAGTTATCCCCGTGCTTCGGGCCCGGTGGATCTCGGGACACGCCAAACGGTAAGCGACCGCGGGTGCGACGGCGCGGAACAAGCGGGGGACCCACTCGGGGCTCAGTGGTTGATTTTGTCGACGTCGCTCTTTACCCCTTCCGAGTTAGAATCCCGCCCGACCTGCATCATCGGCCTTGCAGCTTGCAGGAGCATCATACCTGTTGCAAACGAGTTCTCCCCTGCACTTTGCTCCCGGCATCTGCCATCACATCCCTAATTGAGATGGAGCGGGCAGAATCCCGCTGTGGTTCTGCCTAACCACACTCTGCTCCCGCCTATTCGGGATGTCTTTCCTCATTTCTCAAGCTCCCCTGTATCATCAGCAAGCCCGTCGCGGCTCGCCTTTAGAGTAATTGTCCTATCTTATCAGAGATACCCCTTTAGCACGCGACTTCACGGGTCTGATTAGGGCTACTCTCTACGGCCCAAGAAAAGGGAGCAATATTGCGCTCTCGCCGGAGCACTCAGGCTTTCCGCAGTCGGGGACCCTCTTCGGCATGGGGCACCTTCGGGTGCAGTCCCGATGCCCGGAGGCTCCGGCGCTGGCTCCGTCAACAGTGTCCTGTCCCCGCTATCTTTCCTATCAGGCTTACCTTATCTCACCCAACGGTTTTCGGAACGTCCGACGTTATCCCTGGCGGCATCAACATCCGTAAGTTACCACTTCGAAACGAAACATTGCGCAAACCAATTCCCCCAAAAAATGAGTGACCGAAAAGAGAAAGAATGCCCAACCCAAATCAGATATCGCGTATTTTTACCGAAATTTCTCCCCGGGCAGAATATGCCCCTTCTTTTTTCTTTACTTTTTCTGCTTACCATTCATGACCCCAGGTAAGTTAACCTTTTGTCAGACTGCTACGATATCGGCGGTTGCGGCTTCCTACTCTACCTACGGATACGTGACGTGGGTGCATGCTTCCATAAGCCCTCCCTTTCCTGCGTTCCATATGCTGTTTTCTCCCTTGGGAAGGATTATCCTTGCTCCGTTGCGCCTAGCTAGACATGAATAATCAGATTAACCTTTTCCCCTTCCTCTTACCCCAAAAAAGCTCCGACTGACGTGCGATCTGCTCAAACTCTCAACCAACTCCAAATCAACTTCACCCCTTCACAACGTTACACCGACTTAATCCCGTGCATATCGAAAGAGAGGCAGAAAACCATCATCTTCAGCCGCAATTGAATACAGTCATCACCACTAAGATCATACATCGTAGCGTCCGTCACACGATCATCTATACTCAAAATGAAGATCAAAGCACTCAACGTCTACCCTATCAAGGCTCTCCGCCCAATCCAAATCACCGCGGCAACCCTCACCGCGCAAGGCATCCTTCACGACAGGACCTACATGCTATTCAAAGTAAACCCGGATTCGACCCTCCGCAAGATGCAGCTCTCCACCTTTCCCCAATGCGCTCTCTTCTCCCAGGAGATCGTTGGCTCTCCCGATGATGAGGGCGGCGAAGAGATCCTTGTAAAGTACAACATTCCAACCCCGCCCCTCATCGATCACCATATTCTTCAGGATACGACCCTTTCGATGCCTCTCGTCCCAGATACATCGTCTCTGGAGCCCATTTCCGTCGACCTTCACGGAAGTCCTGCCGAGGCACTCCGCATGGGGGAGCCATATGACGCTTTCTTCTCCGCCTGCTTCGGCTTCCCCACAATCCTGGTACACATCGGCTCCGGCCGCCGCCGTGTCCTCGGCACCCTCGCTCCAGGGTCATCTTCCAAGCAGCAACAACAGCAATCGTCCTCTCTATTCTCCTCAATCACATCATATCTCCCCTCCCTCTCATCTCTCTCCAAGTCTGAAGCTGAAGAACAAGCCTGGCTCACCTTCACCGACTGCGCCCCTTACCTCATTACATCAGATTCTTCCCTATCTTACCCCTCCCTGACCTCCTTTCAAAATCCGGATGCCCCATCCACCGTTATGCCCAAAATGCGCCCCAACATTGTTGTGGAAGATTCCTCCGAGGCACCCTTCGCCGAGGACTTTTGGGCGGAGCTGTCCTTGCCCGCCTCCTCCAACGCCAAGCTCCTCCTAACGGCCAACTGCGGCCGTTGCACATCCCTCAACGTCGATTACGCCCTCGGCCGCGCAGCTCCCGGACCTGAGGGGAAGCTCCTCAACACTCTGATGAAGGATCGCCGCGTTGACCCGGGCCACAAATACGCCCCCGTTTTTGGTCGGTACGCCTTTCTGGAGGTCCCTTCCGTGGGAGACGGGTCTCTGGCCGGGAATGGGACGGTTCAGGTCCGCGTGGGCGACCAAGTCGTCGTCACCCGACGCAACGCCGAGCGGACAGTCTTTGATTGGGACATACCGGCTCTCGCCGCAAAGAAGACCGTTGTTGTTGTTGCATAAAGGGTCCATATCCGCAGATCAGATTTCCTGATGTTGGTGGTTGCAGCCCACTTCCCATCCACATTATTCTCCCCTCCCCACTTGGGCAGCCATCTTTTTGTTTTCCACTTTTCCTGCTCTAGACTAGAATGGGTAACTTTCTTCACAAGACGGCCATAGCACATGTCATCTCTCACGATTCCCACATGTCCCAAAGGGGGAAGAGAAGGAAAAGAAGAAATAACCGCGGAAAACGGGTAGCATTCTAGATGGAGTCAAGTCGTTGCCCGCACCGTTGGCTGCACCACGAACCAGAAAAAGGAAACTGGGCACACGAGGGGAGGGACTATCACATGTGAGGTTCTCGCTACATACGGCATCATATTACCAGGTGGACGGGCGAAGGTAGAGCTGGGAAGCAGAAGCAGGATGTAAGAAAAAAGGGCAGAATGCCGTGTTACCTATCTGAACCCCTCGCGCTGCGCGCATCACGTCTTTTCCCGCACAAACCCACCTTTTCGAATCCCTAACCCCCCTCTGCATCGTGAAAACATCCCTGTCATCATCTCCTGATCTCACGAAAATGATAACGCAACTAGAAAACACCGCGGCTCTCCATTGCTTAGAGAGACCTTTTGAGGATCGAGATAAGAGCCTCACCGCCATTAACATATGCAATCAGGTCCAATCAGTCCCTTCCCTTGAGGTTGCCGATAGATACCTCATCTACGGAGTATCTGTACTCCTTCCCTCCCTCCCTCTCTCTCATGGGCTAGAGTTGCCAATGACACCATCCCAATCCCCAAGTTTCATATGCCCGTTACCTTTGTGTAACCCGAAAAAAAGCGCCACTCGCCTTTCGGCGTTAGCTGACGGGCAAAATAAATAAAGCGGGGAACACAAATTTATACCCGCCAGGGTGCTGCTCCGTCTTCCTGATACCCCAGATGCCCAGATCCCTTTGATTAATAAACTAAAAGGGGAGATGATGTGTGGAAATGCGGTGCATCTCGCTGGAACTGCACCCAGCGGATAAACATAAGATACCACGCCATATTCTCAAGAAACATCGAGAGATTCGGCGAGGCTTCCCGCGATCCTCCCTCCCCCCCTAAAAAAGAGCAAACTTTTCCATCCTACGGAGTACCTGTCCATCTATGTATCCCACGCCCTGCCGACCGGCAAGGCGGGCACAACGGCCCAGCGAGCCAGCCCCGCGCGTAACTTGGCCCCCTTGTTCCCCGGTTCTCCCGTCCGTTTGAACATGTGTGTACCGCGGGCGCCGGCGCGATGGGAAAAAATCCTCAACGGTTCAAGTAGCGGAAGTACCTACATAATCGTTGAAAGAGCAGGAAGAAAAAAGAGAGAGAGAGGAGGGGGCCGGGCGGGCGGGGAGGGAAGGAAGCAGAAGTGCAAAAAGCCAGAACTGTAATTCCCCCGATCTTCGCAGCGATTGTGTGATGTGCAGGTATCTATCCGTACCCATTCCAAGTCGATCATTTTCATGTACGAAGTACGGAGGAAGACTTGGTACCTTTTCTGCCCGCTCTACTACTAGGTAATGTAGCCTTGGGTATCTATCTATCTCAATTTTTTTTTTTTTTTTTTTTTTTTTGACATGAGCTACCTAGCTCAAAGTTCATCACAAGTCTCGTCATTTCCTGCTGCATGATGCATCTTAGTCCAAGAAACACTGCGCAGAGTAAGGGAGAATATCATCAGGGCTTGAGACAAGAAGGGAAAAAAAGAGGCGTAACATTAATAGCAATCTTCACCGAGATTGATCGACACAATCTAGCCCCATGAACCAACCCCCATCCATCCCACACCAGAGCCTCAATCTACCTTTCCTTACACCATTCATACGTCGTCACAAAAAAGCCGCCTACTCACATGTTCCTCGACCAATCATCATCATAAGCCACCCATCACAATACTCGCCCAATCCCATCACACACACACCCGTCGTCGAATTCGTCGGTGTAAATCAGCCAAAGGTTACTCCGTAGTCTAGTTTCTAGTCTACCTTAGTCTAAACCACCAACCACTCTCACTCTTACTCTGCCCTTATCACGCACTGCGACACTCCTCGTTTTGTAAGTTTCCATGGGCATATTTTGAACCAACTGCGCCTAGCTACACCATAAAGGATTTTTCATCGAAGCCTTCGCGTAAACCTTCGCCCACTTCGAATCTTACTTAAGAAGATAAAAAAGAAAGAGATTGGGGGGGGGGGGGGGCAAGAGGCAAGTTGGAACCAACCAAGCGATCGACAGACTTCACCGAGAAACAACTCGGAGAAATATGTAATGCAGGTAACCGGCCGGCCCTTTCCTGTCAGATGTAGTCGTACAAGTTGTCAGTGCCAGTGCCATGCCATGCCATGTGTGTCTGTACGCATGTATGTATGTCAATGCCATGCCGAGGTCGCGCCATGCTGTACCCCGAACAACAACCTCATCTTGTACAACCACAAAATCCCCGGATCTACATTTTGTGCAACCTAAACACACAAAAAAAAAAAAGAGACAGCCTTGAATCCGAGACTTGGATAATATCACATCTGCCTATCCGCTAGGTACTCTTCCCCGTTGCCGCCGAACTTTCTTCACCGACTTCTCCCGTTAAAGAAACCAAGGCTTCGAGGCGAGACAAGACGAGACGAGGCGGGTATGGTTACACACACACACACACATCTTCTCTTCACCGGTGACCGGCATCCTCGGACAATAGGTGACACCGAGTGAGCGCGAAAGCGCTCCATCGGCATCCGACGACGTACGTTCTCTTTCAACCAAAAAGAGGCATCCCGCCCACATACCGAAAGGTGTCCAACGTCCCCCAGACTCACAGGTGACATGGCATGGCAGATTCTGTATGACACAAGGGCGGGCGCAGCAACCATGATATGATGGCTAGAAATACATTAGGGTTTTGTTCTTCTATATTAGTGCTTGGCACCTTCTTGGTCTTCCTGCGCCATGGCACGAGTAGAAGAAGCCCATGGCTCTTCAGACCCGGAAAAGCGCTACCTATAGATCTGTTTGACCAACCGGACGCGATACCGTTCTGGCCTGGCAGCACCAAGTCATACGCGAAACCGAAGCGCAAGGGGTTCGATGTGATGCAAAGACTCCTTGGACAACACTCAGCATGATAACTGATCAAAAGGCAAGAACGTAGCGTGAGGAAATAGAAGTATTCTGCGTCAGGAGGTAAAAAGAAACAAAACTCGAAATTGACAAATAACCGCCGTTCCAGTCCATCAGCCTTGCGTGCTGTTGTGACGTGATCTAAGCCCATATTTTTTCTTCTGTTTGCCATGCTCCGTGAACCATTCCCAAAAGACCCGAAATCTATTGTTAGAGAAAGAAACCGTTTCTTCTCGCTAGTACCACTACCAACATCTGTTGCGCTCCCTCGCTCGCCCCCTCGCCTCACTTGCTCCTGCCCCGCCAACTTTGGCGGTTTGCCCAAAGGAAAAGAGAAAAAGGAAATAACCAAGTCGTTGTTTGCCGTAGAATAGGGGTATTGGGCATTGCGCGGCCGAAAAACTCCGTTACGTATTGATCAAAAGCGTGAAATGAAATGGAGAATGGGCGCTGGGTGCGTCTTCTTGCGGTCGAATCAAGGAGCTAGCCGGCCGGAGCGTCGGCGAGCGAACGAGCTGTGAATGGATGATTCCTCCCTGCCGATTTAGGCTCAGTGCCTCATGGTTCCAGATTGTGACCGGGAAAGGTGCCGTCGCATCATTCCCGTCTTCAGCCAGGTACGGAAACTCGAGGGCATCATCGCGCAGGGGCTCAGCTGTTGACACAGGCGCTAGGGCGTGACCCCCTGTGGACGGGATGCGCTCCCCGCCGGGGCCGTTAAGCTGCAGCCAGCTGCAGAGGTGCCTGAGCCAGAGGGTCCCACGTGCGCCATGCAGCACCGAAATTCGGCACCACTGAGCTAAACCAGAGTTAAGACCGAGGACCCTGCCGCGACGGCAGGGGTGGCGGAGCTGGTCCTCTCTGGGTGGTGTAGTCGGCGTGCCTTCAAAACGTCCGGGGAGGGTTGCAAACAGAATGATTGAAAAAACTCAAAAATCGAAAACGGAAAGAGTTGCATGGCTTTTTTCGTGTCGACGGCCGCCGCCAAAAGTGAAGGGATCAAAGGGGGAGAACTCCGCGAAGAGGTATCCGACGTTGTCCGATCCGAAATAATCCTGATTGCCATCGATCGACAGGGCATTTTCTCAACCGCATGCGCCTGGTATTGCGTGTTTGGTGGTGCGTCGCTGTTGGGATGAACCAATATAGTCCTGCAGCGTTTGAACGTCTCAAAAGGGGCCCTAGGCTTGTGTTAGTAGGTGACATCCATCAATTGCAAGATGACACAGTTTGCAACTGCCGTGCCGCATTGTCCACCGACGGGTATTTCCATCTGGAAACCTCATAGGTAATGAAACAAGAGAGGGCAATAAGATCGGGGATCGGATAGGGCGAGACATGTGAGTCTGGGTGGTGACGGAAGGGAGTTTGCGTCATCAGAAGCAACTAACATGTAGCCCGATTTCGAACGAGGTGACTTGCTCGAAGTGAGCGGCAGTGTCTTTGTGAACATACCTCGAGTGCATCCAATGCTAAACCCCCACGTTGCCGGCATGCCTCCATCTTGCATCCCCTCACGGTGAGCACCGTCTTTCCCGCAGTCGGTGTCGTCTGGGGTGCTCAGTCAGGGTGCCGACAAACGCTGCACCTCAGGCGCTTTGAGTGCAGGGCCGGCAGGTGTGTAGCTTGCAATACCGGCACTCGAAGATACTCCAGTGGGGTCCAGAATGGCAGAGGTTGCAGGTCCATTGGATCAAAGTGCTGTCCGACTTGATCATTTTGAACGAGTGGGCGCAGGGGCCCGCGACGGCCATCTTGGATCGAAAGCAGCTGAAAGGCTTGGGAAGCTCGGGGTCTCTGGAAGCCCTGTGCGTTGTGCGCGCGACGTCCTGAGCTGTGTGGTTTTTGGTGCCGGTGCTGCTGTCGGAG